GTGAAATACCTCTTTGTGAACCAACTCTTTGTGAACTACCTCTTTGTGAACTACCTCTTTGTGAACTAACTCTTTGTGAACTACCTCTTTGTGAACTAACTCTTTGTGAACTACGTCTTTGTGAACTAACTCTTTGTGAACTAAATCTTTGTGAACTAACTCTTTGTGAACTACGTCTTTGTGAACTACCTCTTTGTGAACTAACTCTTTGTGAACTACCTCTTTGTGAACTACGTCTTTGTGAACTAACTCTTTGTGAACTAACTCTTTGTGAACTACCTTTTTTTGAACTACGTCTTTGTGAACTAACTCTTTGTGAACTACCTCTTTGTGAACCAACTCTTTGTGAACTACCTCTTTGTGAACTACCTCTTTGTGAACCAACTCTTTGTGAACTACCTCTTTGTGAACTACCTCTTTGTGAACTACCTCTTTGTGAACTACCTCTTTTTGAACTACCTCTTTGTGAACTACCTCTTTGTGGACTACCTCTTTGTGAACAACCTCTTTGTGAACTAACTCTTTGTGAACTCTTTGTGAACTCTTTGTGAACAACCTCTTTGTGAACTATCTCTTTGTGAACTAGCTCAATCCAACAAAAGAAACCAGAGGTCTTGACAGCTGAAACTACTTCACTCAAATCTTAAGTTAATTAAAACAAATTACTGCCCGTCACAGACAAGAGGACAGTAATTAAAACAAATTGAAAACAGAGTTGAAAACATATTTTTACAGGAGAAGAGAAGACGCCATTGTAAAAGTTAGTCCCCCCCCCCTCGACTCGGCCGAATCTAAAACCGATGCCCCGCTGTTTTCATTACGTGTTTCTGTATACAAAAGTCCAGACAATCCGGAATTTTTATCTGTATCATTATCTAACCTGAAAATCGAATTTCTCCTCCATTCTATTATCGCTGTCTTCTTTTAATCAATTTTTTATTTCGAGAAATATTTTAAGCTTTTATAAACATTTCAGATTAGAGTTAGCCAAATTCGGGTGAATCAAATTTTTTTGAAATTATTTCACTTCCTTTGTGTGTAGTTTTAAAAAGTATTTTCAAACGCTGGCAATTTTGTCAGGGGCTCACATCGACGGAAATAACATCGTATTCAAAAACATGATATAATCAAAATAATTTTCTCCTCAATCAACTTTTTAAACCCTTAACGCTCTAGTTAAAATCTACTTTCATTTGCTCATTAGAAACATTGTTCGTTTTGCACCCACCACTTTTAAAAGAACTACCGTCTTTTGATCAACAATTTTTTGGAATGGCGCTAGGAAAAACCACAATCCAATTGAACTGTTCTATAAATAGCATGTTTTGTTTAATTGTTAGCGCAGACATAAAGTCGAGAGATAATTTGATGTCACAACTTTTACAGATCTTTGTTAATTTTAAAGTTCACTACCTACGTCATGCGTCTTCATGTAGTTAATTTAAACAGTTCTTTTATATATATATATATATATATATATATATATATATATATATATATATATATATATATATATATATATATATATATATATATATATATGTGTGTGTGTGTGTGTGTGTGTGTGTGTGTGAGTGTGTGTGTGTGTGTGTCTGTGTTTCTGTCTGTGTCTGTGTGTATGTCTTTGTGTGTTGCAGTTCTGTGTCTGTCTGTGTATGCTGCTGTGTGTATGTGGCTGTCTATATGCAGGTATATAAATGTATATAAATGTATATAAATGTATATAAACGTATATAAATGTACATGTACACAAATATTTATCGAATCTTTTTAAACAAAAATTTTAAAACAGAAGAAAGAACTCGCATGCATAGCTGAGCAGCCAGATTGAGTTAGCAGTTAAGCGGTGTCGAGCAGGCTATGGACGGCATGCCAGTCTGGCAAGTCGTGGAGTTGCCAGATATCTGATTACGTTGCCTTCTAATCTGATCCACCGTCAGAGAAAAAAAAGCCTGCCTTAGAGATCCCCCCCCCCGCCCGACTCGAGAGCCCAGCACCCAAATGAAACCCGGGTTGGGTTGTCCTTAGCGCAGGTTTAATACGGGCTCGCTGTTTTGTTTTTACTTGGGATCACCCTTTTAGCCCTGGTAATGTAATAGAATTAGGGACTGAGGAATTGGGGGACAAGTTCTACTCCCATACTAAAAATCTGAGAGGGGGGGGGGGGCGAGATTGGATTGAGGGGGACGTCAGTTGAAATGAAATCGCGAGAAGATCGAACCTAACGCGGGACCCACTTTAACGTGGGCCCTCCACGCTCTGCTCAGGGCACCAATATTTCAGCGCTGTTGTGTGTTTTCATTGGCTGCCCATTGTTGCCCTAACAACGGGAGCCGCCATTAGGACATCGTCATCTCGCGAGATCTGATTACCGAGATCATGACGAGAATTGGTATCAAGCTATTGGATTTTTTTTTACCCACAATTCCAGCGAGTCTCAATCCTGACAGACATACCTAGCTAAGCGTCAGACATTCACCCTGCAGGAATGGACCCCTGACAGACGGTCCCTGGTGATGGATGACTGACAGACACGACCTGTTGGTGAATAACTTTAACCTGATTAACCCCCCCCCCACACACACACACACACACACACACACCCCACCCCACTTGTCAGCAGACGGTGATAATTTTTTCTTGTCTGACTTTAAACCAAATTGTCAAGTTGTCAATAAAGTCGGGTGTTGCGAATCTGCTACAGTAGAAACAATTTGATGTTTTCGTCTTTTGTCAATGTCTCGCTTTTGCTTTTCTGTCAGTACTTTTTATTTTTATTCTTCATTGACATTTAAATTGTTTATTCACAGGATCTGGTGTTCTGTATGAATGTATGTCCGTTGTTTAAACCAAGTGTTCTCAAAATCAGGCGTCATGTTCTTGTGTTTCAGAACAAAAAAAGATGAAGGCAACTCCCAATGTCTTCCAGAACCGGTCTCATTAATTGATGAACCAGTCTAATTAATTAACTAACTGACTGATCAATCTAGCGATATCTGATAGACCAACATAGCTTTAACTGTTGTTGTTTTTTTTGTTGTTTTTTTTTTTCAATTTTTTGTTTTTAGCCCGAAATTGCCAATAAAAATGTAATCTAATATCCATTGTTTCATATACATGAATTTCATTTTATGCAAATAAAATATAATGTATCTAACTTAACAAATACAACTAGAGTAACTTAACACTACCCAAGGTAATCAAATCTTGTAAGAAAAGTCTTCTGAAACAAAGAGACTTGAAACGAAAATTGAGTAACAAGTTCAGAAAACAAGAAATAGATGTCTCAAAAAAAATTTAAGGATGTTTTGTTTCAGATATTTCGTCATGTCGCCATTTTCATTTTGTCTTGGTTAATTTTTATTTCGAATATTATTATAACAATGGGTTTTATTGTTTTATTAACACATTGATGTATGTTAATGTATTAGAGATTCAACCACACCCACATACATAGTCTCACAACCACACACCATGCACACACCCACAAAGGCTCACACTCACACCACACCCACAAAGCCTCACACCCACCCCACACCCACAAAGCTTCACACCCACCCCACACCCACAAAGCCTCACACCCACCCCACACCCACAAAGCCTCACACCCACCCCACACCCACAAAGCCTCACACCCACCCCACACCCACAAAGCTTCACACCCACCCCACACCCACAAAGCCTCACACCCACCCCACACCCACAAAGCCTCACACCCACCCCACACCCACAAAGCCTCACACCCACCCAACACCCACAAAGCCTCACACCCATCCCACACCCACCCACACCCACAAAGCCTCACACCCACCCCACACCCACAAAGCCTCACACCCACCCCACACCCACAAAGCCTCACACCCACCCCACACCCACAAAGCCTCACACCCACCCCACACCCACAAAGCCTCGAACCCATCCCACACCCACAAAGCCTCACACCCACCCACACCCACAAAGCCTCACACCCACCCCACACCCACAAAGCCTCACACCCACCCCACACCCGCAAAGCCTCACACCCACCCCACACCCACAAAGCCTCACACCCACCCCACACCCACAAAGCCTCACACCCACCCCACACCCACAAAGCCTCACACCCATCCCACACCCACCCACACCCACAAAGCCTCACACCCACCCCACACCCACAAAGCCTCACACCCACCCCACACCCACAAAGCCTCACACCCACCCCACACCCACAAAGCCTCACACCCATCCCACACCCACCCACACCCACAAAGCCTCACACCCACCCCACACCCGCAAAGCCTCACACCCACCCCACACCCACAAAGCCTCACACCCACCCCACACCCACAAAGCCTCACACCCACCCCACACCCACAAAGCCTCACACCCATCCCACACCCACCCACACCCACAAAGCCTCACACCCACCCCACACCCACAAAGCCTCACACCCACCCCACACCCACAAAGCCTCACACCCACCCCACACCCACAAAGCCTCACACCCATCCCACACCCACCCACACCCACAAAGCCTCACACCCACCCCACACCCGCAAAGCCTCACACCCACCCCACACCCACAAAGCCTCACACCCACCCCACACCCACAAAGCCTCACACCCACCCCACACCCACAAAGCCTCACACCCATCCCACACCCACCCACACCCACAAAGCCTCACACCCACCCCACACCCACAAAGCCTCACACCCACCCCACACCCACAAAGCCTCACACCCACCCCACACCCACAAAGCCTCACACCCATCCCACACCCACCCACACCCACAAAGCCTCACACCCACCCCACACCCACAAAGCCTCACACCCACCCCACACCCACAAAGCCTCACACCCACCCCACACCCACAAAACCTCACACCCACCCCACACCCACAAAGCCTCACACCCACCCCACACCAACAAAGCCTCACACCCACCCCACACCCACAAAGCCTCACACCCACCCCACACCCACAAAGCCTCACACCCACACCACCCCCACACCCTGACTCACCTCCACAGTTGAAAATCTTCCTGACCACTGTTGTGGTTAAGATTCGTCTCCTCAGGAAGTCAGCGATCTGCCCACCGATGGGGACAATGATGGCCATCACGAGGTGGGGTAGGGCCGACAGGGTGCCGCTCTGTGGACGGGAAATAACTCACCTCAATATCTCACCCACGACCCCGGGGGTGGGGAAGCTCGGTGCCAAACTTTGAGGGGGGGGGGGGGACAGGCAATATAAATTACATTAGACGCCTAAGACGGCTTGTTATAACAAAATTACTTTATGGCGCCCTAGAGACCCACTCAACACAGCACCCGTACCCCCTCGGATAGGACAGCAACACTAGATTCATGTAAAGATTAGACCCTCGTATAGATCATATTTATGGTGTGGTTAAATAGTATCACGGGTTAATGTAAAGATTAGACCCTCGTATAGATCATATTTATGGTGTGGTTAAATAGTATCACAGGTTAATGTAAAGATTAGACCCTCATTTAGATCATATTTATGGTGTGGTTAAATAGTATCCCGGGTTAATGTAAAGATTAGACCCTCATATAGATCATATTTATGGTGTGGTTAAATAGTATCCCGGGTTAATGTAAAGATTAGACCCTCATATAGATCATATTTATGGTGTGGTTAAATAGTATCACGGGCTAATGTAAATATTAGACCCTCATTTAGATCATATTTATGGTGTGGTTAAATAGTATCACGGGTTAATGTAAATATTAGACCCTCATATAGATCATATTTATGGTGTGGTTAAATAGTATCACGGGTTAATGTAAAGATTAGACCCTCATATAGATCATATTTATGGTGTGGTTAAATAGTATCACGGGTTAATGTAAATATTAGACCCTCATATTGATCATATTTATGGTCTGGTTAAATAGTATCACGGGTTAATGTAAAGTTTAGACCCTAATTTAGATCATATTTATGGTGTGGTTAAATAGTATCACGGGTTAATGTAAAGATTAGACCCTCATATAGATCATATTTATGGTGTGGTTAAATAGTATTAGGGGTTTATGTAAATATTAGACCCTCATTTAGATCATATTTATGGTGTGGTTAAATAGTATCACAGCTTAATGTAAATATTAGACCCTCATATAGATCATATTTATGGTGTGGTTAATAGTATCACGGGTTTATGTAAATATTAGACCCTCATATAGATCATATTTATGGTGTGGTTAAATAGTATCACGGGTTAATGTAAAGATTAGACCCTCATATAGATCATATTTATGGTGTGGTTAAATAGTATCACGGGTTAATGTAAATATTAGACCCTCATATTGATCATATTTATGGTCTGGTTAAATAGTATCACGGGTTAATGTAAAGTTTAGACCCTAATTTAGATCATATTTATGGTGTGGTTAAATAGTATCACGGGTTAATGTAAAGATTAGACCCTCATATAGATCATATTTATGGTGTGGTTAAATAGTATTAGGGGTTTATGTAAATATTAGACCCTCATTTAGATCATATTTATGGTGTGGTTAAATAGTATCACAGCTTAATGTAAATATTAGACCCTCATATAGATCATATTTATGGTGTGGTTAATAGTATCACGGGTTTATGTAAATATTAGACCCTCATATTGATCATATTTATGGTGTGGTTAATAGTATCACGGGTTTATGTAAATATTAGACCCTCATATAGATCATATTTATGGTGTGGTTAAATAGTATCACGGGTTTATGTAAATATTAGACCCTCATACAGATTATATTTATGGTGTGGTTAAATAGTATCACGGGTTAATGAAAATATTACGGGCACGGCGTGGTCGTATAGTAGAGCATAGGACTTGTAACCCGAAAGTCACGAGTTCGAATCCGGGTTCGTTTCAGTAAAACGTCCATATGTGCACCCAGCTCTAATGGGTACCTGACTCACGATAAGGCAAGTAAAAACACTTCTTTTTTCATATGCCGAGGTCACTAAAACAGGTGAACTCTACTTCACCTGCACCATGGATCGTCAGAATCTCAAGGGACCTCGACTATATTTAATGTAAAGAATATCCCCTCATATAGAACCTATACATCCTTATGTTATTACCGTATAAAAATGCTATTGTAAAGACAAGCTTCCCTTATTAGCGTCTGGGCATTGTCCGATACTTGAACCCATGGTCCTGTATTGTCCGATACTTGAACCCATGAGTCCTGTATTCTCCGATACTTGAACCCATGGGTCCTGTATTGTCCGATACTTGAACCCATGAGTCCTGTATTCTCCGATACTTGAACCCATGAGTCCTGTATTGTCCGATATTTGAACCCATTGGTCCTGCCACTTACCTCGTCAATTTTAAAGCCAAACACCTGTTCAAAATATGCCGGTTGGGATATGATTAACAAATAGAAGGTCCAGGATCTGCAGAAGTTGGCCACCATGATGGCCCACACTGGCATGGAGGTGAAGAAGGCCACCCATGGGGTGGATATAGCCTGGGGGGGGGGGGGGGAGAGAAAGGGAGACATTTTACACAACCTGAGAAGTCAACGTTTAGAAAAAAAAAATTGTAAATTTTTTTAACGAAGATCAATTACAAAACCATCCACAATTTTGCTTTAAAACGTATACTTAACAGTAAAAAAATCGAAGGTCTTAAGATCAGTTTATCAGAAGAAAAAATTATTATTAAAATTGTTGAATTTTTTTAATATCGTAATAACAATCCTGATTAATTTTCAAGAGTATTTGAAGTTCTTAAATCTTCTTAAGAAAATGAACTCTCAGAATGATTCCTAGAGTTATCGGACTTGTTTTTTCTCGCGATTATTTACCTTGTTGGTGTTCATGGTGGTCTCGCCGATGCTGGTCTCTATGTAGACTCGCTCCTCCTCCGATATGGTGGGGTGGGTGGACGGGCGCTCGTAGGACAGGAACCACCAGGCTATGGACCAGAGCGCCCCTAGCACACCTGAAATATAGAGGCAGTAGAGTTCATGTCAGCCGTTAGGTCTAACTACACACTTGACATATAGAGGCAGTAGAGTTCGTGTCAGCCGTTAGGTCTAACTACACAATTGAAATATAGAGGCAGTATAGTTCATGTCAGCCGTTAGGTCTAACTACATACTTGAAATATAGAGGCAGTAGAGTTCATGTCAGTCATACTAGACCCCGTCACTAACATAGAGGCAGTAGAGTTTATGTAAGTCATAAAAACCCGAAGCACACCTAAAATATAGAGTTCATGTAAGGAGCTGTTTCCTTTCAGCTAAGTCAAGTCAACATAGTTTCTGTCAACTCTACCGCTCTTTCTTTCCCCCATTTTATTTTATTTTTTGTAATTTTAGAAACTAAAAATGTCAATTCAGGCGTTTCGAAACGAAACAAAATAAATTTAAAATAGTAAACCGACTCTCCCAGCAAATGACTAAAATGTGTTCCACTGCCTCTCAGATACATAATTGATTAGGTAAAAATTTCATCCGAGGTAGAATCTCAATGTGTGGCCTTTTGGTGCCACACGCCAACTGAGGAATGAACTCAACACGATGGCTGAATTATAGACTAGACTTGACACGAACTTAGACCAAAATGGAAACCATCGCTGTTGAGGTGTGAGACTAGAGGAGGCGTGGGTGCCGGCATAAAATATACACAGGGGGCGTGGGTGCCGGCATAAAATAGTACAGGGGGCGTGGGTGCCGGCATAAAATAGTACAGGGGGCGTGGGTGTCGGCATAAAATATACACAGGGGGCGTGGGTGCCGGCATAAAATAGTACAGGGGGCGTGGGTGCCGGCATAAAATAGTACAGGGGGCGTGGGTGCCGGCATAAAATAGTACAGGGGGCGTGGGTGTCGGCATAAAATAGTACAGGGGGGGCGTGGGTGTCGGCATAAAATATACACAGGGGGCGTGGGTGTCGGCATAAAATAGTACAGGGGGAGTGGGTGCCGGCATAAAATATACACAGGGGGCGTGGGTGCCGGCATAAAATAGTACAGGAGGAGTGGGTGCCGGCATAAAATAGTACAGGGGGAGTGGGTGCCGGCATAGAATAGTACAGGGGGCGTGGGTACCGGCATAAAATAGTACAGGGGGCGTGGGCATAAAATAGTACTGGTGGCGTGGGTGCCGGCATAAAATAGTACAAGGGGCGTGGGTGCCGGCATAAAATAGTACAAGGGGCGTGGGTGTGGGCATAAAATAGTACAGGGGGCGTGGGTGTGGGCATAAAATAGTACTGGGGGCGTGGGTGCCGGCATAAAATAGTACAGGGGGCGTGGGTGCCGGCATAAAATAGTACAGGGGGAGTGGGTGCCGGCATAAAATAGTACAGGGGGCGTGGGTGCCGGTATGATAAAGTAAAGGATGTTTGGTTGCAGTCACTATATATGGGCGTGGGTGCCGGCACGAAATATTAGAAGGGGCGTGGGTGACGGCAACATAAGACCCTCCCCCCCCCCCCCCCCCCCCCAATATTCAAATCAGGTGGTGGTGTGCATAGGGTGATGGGCCAGCTAGTACTGGATTACCCACGGGCCTTGTGACTGGCGATGGGCAGAGGAAATGCTTCACCTTCAAACCGTGGTCTGCTTGGTTTGAGAGTATTGGTCGAGGTGGATATTCCCGTATAAGACAGAGACAGAGAGACGGGTAGAACTAGAGAGATAGAGAGAGATGGAGGGAGAAAGAGGGAGAGGGAGAGAGAGGGAGAGAGAGAGAGGGAGAGGGAGAGAGAGAGATAGAGAGAGATAGAGAGAGCGAGAAAGGAAGAACTAGAGCATTAAAATTTACTTTCATATTGATTCGAGAATTTCATCTTCATATCACCATATGAAAACCCTGCCTTCAAATAATCTTCAAACATAACCTGATTATAACATAACACTATATGACAGTCGAGACGTTAACGTATCAAAACATAACCATAACATTTTATGACATTTGAAACAAAAACTATGTTCTCCCATAAAATAACCAATATTCTCTTCACAAACTTTCACACCCCCGGCAGTCATGTAGTTAACATTGATCAGACCCAGGCTCAGACACCCCCACCCCACACCGCCGGGGTTTATGTATTTAGCATTGATCAGAACTAGGCTTAGACACCCCCACCCCACACCCCCGGGGTTTATGTAGTTAACATTGATCAGACCCAGGCTTAGAAACCCCCACCCCACACCCCCATCCCCACCCCCACCCCCGGGGTTCGTGTAGTTAACATTGATCAGACCCAGGCTCAGACACCCCCACCTCCCACCCACCCCCTCACACCCCCGGGGATCGTGTAATTAACATTGATCAGACCCAGGCTTAGACACCCCCACCCCACACCCCCAACCCCAACCCCACCCCCGGGGTTCGTGTAGTTAACACTGATCAGACCCAGGCTCAGACACCCCGACCCCCACTCCCACCCCACACACCCCCACCCACCCCGCACACCCATCCCCGGGGATCGTGTAGTTAACACTGATCAGACCCAGGCTCCGACACCCCCACCCCCACCTCCCAACCCCCATCCCCACCCCCACCCCCGGGGTTCGTGTAGTTAACATTGATCAGACCCAGGCTTAGACACCCCCACCCCCATCCCCAACCCCACCCCCCGGGGGTTCGTGTAGTTAACACTGATCAGACCCAGGCTCCGACACCCCCACCCCACACACCCCCACCCCACACACCCCCACCCCACACACCCCCACCCCACACACCCCCACCCCACACACCCCCACCCCACACACCCCCACCCCACACACCCCCACCCCACACACCCCCACCCCACACACCCCCACCCCACACACCCCCATCCCATCCCCCGGGGTTCGTGTAGTTAACACTGATCAGACCCAGGCTCAGACACCCCCACCCCACACACCCCCACCCCACACACCCCCACCCCACACACCCCCACCCCACACACCCCCATCCCACACCCCGGGGGTTCGTGTAGTTAACACTGATCAGACCCAGGCTCCAACACCCCCACCCCACACACCCCCACCCCACACCCCGGGGGTTCGTGTAGTTAACACTGATCAGACCCAGGTTCAGACACCCCCACCCCACACCCCCGAGTGTTTATTCCAACAGCGCCTCTATCTCCATCTCCCATCAAACGCCACTTGGAAACTTAACAAGCCCACTTGATTATATTCAATAAAACATGCCGTGTTGGCCGTCCATTATCCGCCGCTCTCAAATTTCAAGCGCTAGGACGGCCAGTTTGACAACCAGAGAAATGTATCGATACTCAACGTATGTAGCTGGACTTTGTATCGATACTTAAAATAACGATACTTGATTATCGTATCGTAATGGATCGATACTTTAATATCGATACTTTATGTATCGATACTAACTCTATCCACACGTAATGTCTATACCTCATGTAAACTAACTTTTCGATACTTCTTGTATCGATACAAAATCGGGTGAATTAAGGGTATCGATACTAAATGAAGCTATACTCAATGTTGCGATACATAATGTATCGATACTTAAAAATAATCCGGGACGGATGACTTGATCTCTAGTTCGCGGGTTCTAGGAAATGATTCTTGCGGAGTCACGACAACTCCACATTTATAATTGTAACACACTGACAACTTCGGGCCGGTTCCCGTCGCTATTTTTAATTTCTTTTATTTTTGGGGGGAGGGGACTAGGGGGGGGGGGAACAGCGTCAAACCCTGAGCGGTAGCCATCGCACGCGGAAAAAAAATCTCTTCAAATCACATTTTATTTTTTTTATTTTTTACGAAATTGACTTTACTTTTAGCAGTAAAAATTGGCAGCTTAAAAATTTCCTTAAAATATTTTTTTAGTTTCCAGATGTATATGGGCATTGACGGATGACGTAATTGTTTTAACACTTTTTGTAAGGTGGGCAGAAAAATGTGCCGGGCACCCAGCTAGCGATGTCCAGCCAAGAAAATTTATTTTTAATAGAGGTTAAAGTTCATTAAGTGCAGCTAGGTATGAGAGACGGTGTGTCGCTAGACTGGTAACCATAATGTCTTGAGTTCGAATCCGGGTTCAAATCAGTAGAACGTCCCTGAGTCCATCCATCTTTGGTGGGTATCTATCTCACGTTAGGGAAAGTAAAAGCGGCTGGGCATAGTAGTGACCACACTATCCCTTAATATGCCGAGGTCACAGAAACTCTACTTCCTTTGCCGCATAGACCTTCGGGTTCAAAAGGTAACTTTTCTTGAAGTTTTAGTTTTAGAAATAGGATTTTGAAAAGCGACTGCTGTTTTAGACTGTTTTCTAATAGTATTTAGCTATTTTTAGATATGGCACTGGTAACTTTTAAATCGTGACCCCTAGTTCGAAAATTGACCACCTTTTCTCCAAAGCTAACATTTGAACAGCCTACATGTAATTTTAAAGACGTGAATACCTAAAAAAACGCTCCCAATATAGACAGTGCCAAAATTATACCGTCTGCATCTTACTGTAGCTTATCAGCTATACTGTAAGTACCAAGCAATACATTTCGCAATTCCAGAACCAACTGCTGTTGTGACAAAAAAAAAACCACGTGTCATAAACACAATCCACCATATCCTCACCGACACAGCATGTCCTAATGTCATGTAACCCCCATTATTGATCAATGGTTCATCTTTCTAACATTTTTTTATTTTACTTTTTTAAAATTATTTTCTTTCTTGGGAGATACATCTTCTGATGAACGGACGAGAAGCACTTCAAAGATTGTAATCATTATTTAATTAATTAACGGGACTCCAGCAGTAACTTAGCCTCCAATCAATATCCCAATCCGATCAGGTTCTGAACTGCTTATGACGTCACAACAATCCTCCCCACCCCCGTCCCCATGATAGTTTTGTCTACAGCTCTTGAGAAAAAAATTGACTTATCACATCCGATATTTTCCTCTGGAAATTTTTAAAAACATGTGATTTTAAAACTTCAAAACGCACGCAATTCTTT